GTTTAAAGTAGAATAAAAATAATTCCTACAAATATAAATGCTCTAGTTTTATTAGATGGATATGAGTAACCACATAGTATCAAGACATTAATAGAAAATAATTTTCGATTATGCTTAAAAAAAATAAGCATTCGAACAAAAAGAATATTACGTTATAGGAGTTAATAGTCTTATTTGTCGCATACAATCTGATTGGCTCGTTTCGAACGCGATGTATAAGAGTATCGCAGGCTGCGATATATAGATTTATTTGGCTTCTCATTTGATTTAATTCCCATTTAAATAGGTTTAAAATCTAAAGTGGATCTAAAATACTATAATATTTAAATGGATTTAGAATCAAATTAAGTTGATTCTGAATCTACAGCATTAGCATTGGTTAGAATTATTCATTTTTGCTATCACTTGTCTTAAAAGAGACTGGTTCGATCATTACTTTCACACCTCAGTATTGACTAGAATGAGTTTTTATTTTTAATGTGTATGGCTGCTATAGTAGTGTAATAATCTTGGTTGTGATGTTCAAGCTCTATGAAAATTCTAGCCGTTTTCAAAAATGGGTGAACAACGATTTCCATATCTAAGTGGGAAATCGAAGCATTTGAAAATTTTAGATTAGGCTGCTCCAAGTTGATTCTACGTTTAACATAACTTCCCCCCTCTGTTTTTTAAAAATTTACATAAAATTATCACCATATTAACCAACCAAATCACAGTATTAGCTTTTTGAACTTTTATATTTTTTACAGCAATTTTTATATTTCTTATAACCAATAGAATTACTGTATTTTGTAGTTTTGGTGTTGTTTAATGCCCCCTCACCCTCTTTTACGAAATACTTTTTTTATGTTAAACAAAGAATCAATTTGTAGTGTTCTTAGTAAAAATTAAACATCCGATTAGAGCGGGTCTTGAAACCCCGGAAAAATTGATCTGCGACTGTTTACACCTTTTTGAGAAATATTTTTTTGAGAAATCACTTTCGGTCCAATAAAATAAGAGAATGACTTTCTGAAACTTTAATCGAAAATAATTATTATACACAAGCTAAGGCTTTCTCGAGTGTCTTTCTCTATGATTTACAGAATTTTCTAATTTTCTAAAAAGAAAAAAAACTGTTTAGCACAAATTTTTGAAATTATAGATTTTCAGTCAAACATATTTTTGACCAGTTATATTTCTATTTATTTGAAGTTCTTAATATCTACAGAATTTCCAATTCTACGATTTGCAGTCAAAAAACCCAAATCAGGTCAACTCGTCATAGACGACCAGCGATTAGTGATTACAATTAAAATTTTTTCCGATTCAGGATTTGAATAAAATTATTGTCTGGAAAATCATTCATACAATATTGCACAATATTTGAATTGGCAAAAATATGTAGATCATAGAGAAGTAATAAATTAATGAAAACAGTCGATTTTTTAAAAGAGCCATTTATAAATATATAAATACATATTACAGTATTATATTTATAAAATTTGGATATATACTTAATTATTATATTTTAAATCTAATTGTGTAGTTTATATTTTATTCATATTATTTTGTGCAGGTGCACCTATAATAAAAGAAAAGTTAAATTCATAACACTAAGTTATATAACATTATAATTAGGGATGTTAACAGTCTGGTCAATTTTTTTGGTCCAAGTCTAGTCTTGTCTATTATGGTCTTCTGTCTTAAGACTTTGCTAGTCTAGACGGTCCAAACCGATCCAGTCTTAAGACTTAGAGGCAGACCAAATTTTTTAGGTCCAGACCGGTCTTAAGACTAACTGTGGTCTAAGACTAGACCACATAACATCCCTAATTATAATATAATACTATTAAATTTTTTAGACTACACAGATATCTAATTTATATTATATTATATAAACCTTCTTTACTCTAAAACTGCACCCTAACCCTAAATTATATAAAAGACTATAATATTGCTACTGGCGATAAACACTAAAACTTTTATTGTATATAATAGAATGTTGTGTTATAAATACAAAAAAAAAGTAAATAAACTATTTATTTTTAAATAAAACACAGGTTGAATCAATGAATATCGGGTGCATACCGGGAGAAAAGTTTTTCGTTATGTACCCGTTAGTCTGCCATAGATCCGCCAAATACCTGTAGCTTATCCGGCAGGTACTATGTAAACACTGACGGAAAAATTTTCGCAAATTTTTATTTAAATCATGAGACAGATTCTTATATAAAAATCTGCGGAAGTAATATAAAATTCTTTCCGTAAGTGTATACGTCATACCTGCCAGATAAACTAGTTATCTGGCATGATATACGAATCATGGACATCGACAGTATAATTGCAACGCACGAAGCCTTCGGCCACGTGCTTTTGCTATTATCCTGCCGATACCCATGTATCCGTCAAATCATGCTAGATAACAAGAAAATATTGGCAGCATGATACAAATTGCCAAAAATTTTCAATCGATTAGTGCCAACTTTTCGATTATTCGATTTTTATTATAAGTTGCCAAAAATTTTTCAATCGATTAGTTGTCAACTTTTCGATTAGTTGCGATTAGTTGCGATTTTCGATTTGTAACACTAGATATCGGAAGGTACAGTAGATCGATATCAGCAACATAACAGCACAATATTGGCACTCTGAGCCTAAAAGTAAGATATCGGGTATCCCAATATTTTGCTGTTATGTTGCTGATATCGATCTACCTCCCGATAACTGCCAATATACTGTTGATATTCAGCAGGTAATTTGGCGGGTCTATGGCAGACTAACGGGTACATATCGAAAAAACTTTTCTCCCGGTATGCACCTAATATTCATTGATTCAACCTGTGAAAGCAATAACAATATTAAAATAGGTTTGGACCCGGGTATAAATTGTTGCTATATAATTACCCGAAATACATAATAATTTACCCGGATAACCCGTATCAAACCAAGTTTTTTAAAAAAAATTTATTAATAATATTGAGATAATTTATTTATTGTCGCAACTGATGCTGAAATTTTGGGGTCTTTATGAACTATAAAACCTACTAAACCCATATATACACTTTAATTAATAAACCTTGACCCTAAACTCTACTCAAACAATTATATGAAGACTAAAAAATGCACCCCAAAAATTGGAAAAATTTAATAATAAAATAATCAAAATTTCAGCATCAGCCGTTTTCAGCAAAGCTAATTAAATAATTCAGTTAACAAAATAAAAATTACTTATTTATAGTATTTTAAGTTAGCAAAAATTTTACTAATTAATTGGTTGTTAATTATAATTGCAACTAATAATTTTTATACTGTATTGTATAGTATTAAATATTTAGTTAACCTAATTAAAGAAATTAATACAAATTAATCTAATTAGATTAAATATTTTGAAAATTAAAATAGCTAATAATTAATTAATTAATTAATTAGTTTAAATTCTTTTAAATTAATTAATTAAAAAATTTTCAAGGTTGATTTTAACTAATAATTTATATTGTAAAGGTATATAAACCTTAGCTTTCTCCTCTAGCTTTAGAATTCATTTAGCTATTAGGGTTTTTTAGACACAAATACCTATCAATAGCTTTGTACCTTAAATATTATTGTAAATAAATATATATCTTTGCTCTTTAAATAAAATATACCAAACTGCTTTAGTGAAAAAATATTTCACTTTCACACTGCTTTATATCTTACTCTGTTATAAGCAAGATCCCTGTTACTATATGCTATATTGCAGGTAGTATATCAAAAAGCCTATACTTACTTGTAACAATAATAATAATATATTTAATAAAAAAATAAATATAGTACTGTATATATATATATATTTAGCCAAACTAATTATTTTGTTTTTTGCAAGCTTAGCGTTAATAAAATTTAAAATTTAAAAATTAAAACCAATTTATATAAAATTAGGTTTAGTTTAAGCTAAAAAAAACAAAGCTATTAATAAAAAAAAAATCATTTATTTTTAGTTTTAATTTTTATAATTTGGTGCTAAAAAAGAGTTAATATTAGTTTAATTTTTTTAAAAAAACAACAAAGCTATTAATAAAAAAAGCTATTAATAAAAAAAACTACATACTGTATCTTTTAATTCTAATTATATTTTTATTTATTTATTTTAAATATTAATTTTTTTTTATATTTATATATAATAATTTAAACTAATGATTTTTTTTTAAAAGTAATCAAATTTAAATCTATTTTAAGATACTAGCTAATTAAAAGTTTGATTATAAGACCACCTTTAGCTTTTACCAAAAAAATTTCTTGAGAAAACTTTAACGATAAGTAAGGATTTGATTTTTTATTTTGTAATACACGAACTTGTAATTTACAAGTTATACCGATACCCGTGCATAAGCACTCGTGTAAACTACTAAATTTATCTATTATAAAATTTTACAAAATTTTATCAAATTTTGATTTAAAAAATTTATTAAAAAATTTATTAGTTTTAAATTATAAATTTTTTTAAAAAAATATTAAAATTTTTTTAATACGTAAATATTATTAAAACTAAATATATATAATATATACGTATATATATGTATATTTAAAATTTAAAATGTATATATTTAATCAATATCTTTTTTGCATAAAATTGCATATAAAATTACGATTTTAAAACAAGCTCTATAATATAACTGGTAAGTTACTTTTAATATTGTATTTTCAAATTTACTAATCTGTCTCATGTTTAGCTAATTCAAAACTACGGAAATAATGTCTTTCACTACTTTCTTTTGCATACGTATTCATTTTAATATAAACCATTTTGAGTTCAGTAATCATTTATATAAAAATTTATAATTTATTTATTATCTTTTTTGAATTAGGCTGTTTAGTAATTGTTTACATAGTAATTGTAAGATTTATAAAGCTAATAATCGATATAATTAAAAAAATGGTACTATTTCTCTAACAGATATTATTAGATAAATTCGGTTAATTGGGTATAATAATCAATCAATCGAATTAAGTGTTTCATTCGAATAAACAGATGACCGGATCTAACCACTACTTAAATTTTTTGTAATGACTTTAATTTTTTTTTTCTCGAAGAATTTACCCATACTAATACCTATTAAATTGAAAATAAGTTAACATCATATTACAAAAAAGGGATCTGATTTGATATCGATATCGATAGTATAATATAGTATATATCGATATATATATATATATATATTATAACGATATACATACGTACACCTATTAATAGTGCAACCTTGAATGGTGTAATGGTATTGGGTCTGTGACCCTATTGGCTAAATATAGGTTATAGCCTATTATCGTTATAACTTACCATTACTGTATAAATTTTCTATCACAGCTGTACTATGACGTTATGACCATTTTAGTCATGTAAGGTCGGTGACCCTAAATGGCCAACATTTTGCGTAAGCATTTCATTTATCCGTTCTTCAACATTCTATATATAAATTTAACAAAGCAAAATGAGGTGCATTTTTTCGTTCCATATTTATAACTTCAGAGATTATCGTTATTGTATACCTGTTATACGTAAAAAAGAGAAATAAATATCTTTGAACAATATATATAAATGTACAAAATTTCATTGTCAATGAATATGGTAAAAATGAATAAAACTGTCGAATGTTAATACATTGTTTTTGAGACCTGTTATTAAACAGTGATCAGTCAGTAGGCTAAAAATATATCATAGATAGGTACAATACCCACGAAGAAAACATAAAACGGTAAATGCAAATCCTCCATTAACATGCATTTTATTAAATGCTATTTTCCGTTGAAGTCATCGTGAACGTATTAACTAATTGAGTATTACATGATAAACGAGATCTTTCTTCAAAAGGATTAGCTATAAATATGAGAATTCTAAAATTTCGGGTTTCACATAAATGATCCTATTGGTTATACCGTATGTGCTTTCATAATGACGAAGATTCAGGCAAATATATGAGTCGCCAAGTTTTCGAGGAACATAACGGTAACAATTGTAAAATTATAACCCGATTAATTTGCCGAGAACCGAAGATATGACAAGACTAAGCACAAATTATTATTATTTGTGTTATTTATAGACGATTGATTTTAAAAAGTATTAATTTATATCAATTTATGTCAATTTTATTATAAATTAAAGCTACCATTACTAAATCGAGACCTTCGTGTTTCGTAAATTTAGGGTGCTTGTGTTAATAAATAAAAATTTAAGGGGTCTTTTATCATTATGATCTAAATATTCGATCGATTATCGTTAGAACTAACACAAATACAAATATTCAAAAACAATTTATTTGCCAGACGATTGGATCATTTGGATCAAAAGTTTTCAAATATTATTATAATCTATTCAGTACGTACAATGAAAAAATTGGCTAAGAATTTGTTTTACAAAAAAAAATAATATAGATTGTGTAAAAATCGGACCCAGGTACCCCTCCATGCCGTGTACCCTCGCCAGTTTCAAGAGCTAGATGGTGATTTATACCCGGGTACACATGTATTATATACACTATATATATCATGGCAGGT